ACGGGAGGGAATACGGCGAAACGGGAGGAAATGGGAGGGAATAAAAACAAATGGGAGGGAATAAAAATAAATGGGAAGGAATGGGAAGGAATAAAAAAATGGGAGGGAATGGGAGGGAAGAAGAAAGAATAATAGATAAGAAGAAGAAACAGGAGGGCATACGAACAAACGGGAGTAAATACAAAGAAACGGGAATAAATTGGAAGGAATAAGAAGAAATAGGAAATAGGAGGGAACGGGAGGGATTCAGAACAAATGGGAGGGAATTGGAGGGGCTAAGACGAAATGGGAAGAAATGGGAAGGGATAAGAAGAAATGGGAGGGAATGGGAGGGAATAAAAAGATATGGGAGGGAATGGAGGAAACACAAGGAAATGCGAGGAAATGCGAGGAAATAAGAAAGAATAATAGACAAAAAGAAGAAATGGAAGGCAATAACAAGAAATGGGATGGAATATGAAGAAATAAGAAATGGGAGGGGCTAAGATGAAATAGGAGGGGCTAAGAAGAAATAACACGAAATGGGAGAGATTAAGATGAAATGGGAAAAAATGGGAGGGATTAAGACGAACTAAGAAGAAATGGGATGAGATAAGAAATGGAAGGGAATGAGAGGGCATAAGAAGAAATGGGAATAAATTGTAAGGAAGAAGAAGAAATTGTAAGAAATGGGAGGGAATGGGAGGGAATAAGAAGAAACAGGAGGGAATAAGGAGAAATGGGAGGAAAGGGGAGGGAAGAAGAAGAAATGAGAGTCACTAAGAAGAAATGGGAGGAAATGAGAGGGAATAATAAGAAAAGATTTGATGGATTAAGAAGAAAGAACTGTGAGACCGTAAGAAGAATGGGAAGAAAGAGGAGGGGACAAGAAATAGGAAGTAATGGGAGGGGATAAGAAGAAATAAAAGAAAATGGAGTTAATGGGAGAGAATAAAAAGAAATTTGTTGTAATGGGAGGAAATGCGAGGAAAAGCGAGGTAATACAAAGAATAATAGGCAGTAAGGAGAAATGGGAGGGAATCATTAGAAATGGGAGGGAAGAAGAAGAAATAAGAAAAAGTGGGAGGGAATGGGAGGGAATAAGAAGAAATGGGAGGGATTATAAGAAGAAATAAGATGAATCGGGAGGGGCTAAGATGAAATGGGAGGGGCTAAGACAAAATGGGAGGGGCTAAGACAAAATGGGAGGGGCTAAGACAAAATGGGAGGGGCTAAGACAAAATGGGAATAAATGGGAGGGGCTAAGATGAAATGGGAGGGAATAAGAAGTGGAAGGGAATAAGAAGAAATAAGGAGAAATGGGAGGGGATAACGAGAAATGGGAGGGGATAACGAGAAATGGGAGGGGATAACGAGAAATGGGAAGGGATAACGAGAAATGGGAAGGGATAACGAGAAATGGGAAGGGATAACGAGAAATGGGAGGGGATAACGAGAAATGGGAGGGGATAACGAGAAATGGGAAGGGATAACGAGAAATGGGAGGGGATAACGAGAAATGGGAGGGCATAAGGAGCAGTGGGCGGAAATGACAAGATAAGATAGAAAAGGGAAGAAAGGATGGGGAAGAAGAGGGAAGAAGTAGTAAGAAATATTAAGTAATAAAAATGGGATTAAATGGAAATAAAAGGAAAGAAGATAGAAGAAAAGGAAAGGAGAGGAGAGGAAAAAAGAGGAGAGGAGGCACAAAGCAACGTGAGGAGAGGAAAAAAAATGTGAAAAGCTGTGAAAAGTGAAGACAGGAACCACGAGGGATGGAGAAATGAAGGGGAGCGAAGGAAGGGGAGGAGCAGAGCCATGTGAAGGGAAGAAATGGGGGGAGAGGAGAAGAGCAGCAAAGACCCGTGAGGAAGACAGAATCCCCAACTGGAATCGTCAGCTGGGTTTTGAGTACCTGCGTGGGGATCTCCTCGAGGCTGCGCTGGGATCCAGCCCAGCTCCCTGCAGAACCTATAGAAACCACGCCGCGATTCCACGAGGAAGCCCAACAACACCTATCGACTGAGCGCACGCGGCGGAACCGGCTGATCCTGAACGAGCGCTGCTCCTCCGGCCTCCTCGCCTCCCCTTCGCAGGAACCGTCTCCTTCCGCACCTCTGGTTTTGTCCCGTTCGCCGCAGCGTCGCGCGCCGCCTCAACCCCCCCAACGCCCGCGGGTACTTACTCTTGCTGGCGCGGTGCGGGATGGGCACGGCCACGCTCTTGCCCCGCTCGCTGTCCTGGGGTTTGGGCGGGGAGGCTGTGAAGCGACAGATGCCCGGCTCTGAGGGGGTGCTCATGGAGGTCATGCTGTCGGCGTTGTCGGTGGTGCCGGTGGTCATCTGGTCGGAGGAGCTGTCGGAGATGAAGCACTCGGTGATCTCAAACTTGGCGTGCTGCAGCTGCTCCTCCAGCTTCGCGTGCTCGTAGGCGCGCGCCAGCTCCTCGTAGGTGGACGAGGCGCTCTCTGTCGACACCATGCTGTTCCGCCCCTTGTCTGTGGAGGAGAGGACGCATCACGTACCGTAGCTGGGCATTTTCCCTGGCCTGGGAACGCCGTTTTCCCCATGGCTGTCATCGTGGGAATGCCCAGGCTGTCCCCGCTGAGACACCCCCCCCCGCCCATCTGTGCCCAGCGCTGGGCACCGCCAGCGCAGCGGAAGTCGTGGTTACGTGGTCCCACTGACTAACAGCAAATCCTACCCCTGCAGTCACCCCCAACTCGTGGCTTGGGGGCGCCGCCAACGGACCCGTGTACCCCCCACCGGCAGACCCCCGAGCCGCCTTCGGCTCTGCCATACCCGTGTCCTGAGAGAGGCTGGCGCTGTAGCTGTCGCTCTCGGTGACCGTGATGCCGTGCTGGGAGCCCACTGTCCTCCAGTCAGAGGTGAGGGTCCGCGCAGGGGTGGACGCCTGGCACTTGGTGAGGGTCCACTGGCTGGAGTACCGGTTGCGGGTGCTGTGTGCCGACTTCACGCTCTTTCTTGACACGGGGTCTAAGGCACAAGGGTGACCGTCACTCCCAGAGGCAGCCGGGACGCTGTCCCAGCTCCCTGGAGCGCTCTCCGCTCCTTCTGTCTTACCAACAGCTGCCTTCAGGCACGGCCAGCGCTGGGGGACAGGGCCCGCACCCCAGCACCCCGCTGCTGGGCAGCAGGAGCACCCCCTTGGGCGCCAGCGGGCACTTGGGGGGCTGCGGGCAGCACCCAGCTCGCCCACACCTGCCTTGTACCCGTGTCTGCAAGCACCCCAGCAACCCCAGCCCCACAGGACCACAGCCACTTACTGGTGCCGGGGCGGATGTCCGACATGTCGATGAGGGGCCCCGTGTTCTGGATCAGAGCGGGGTGATGCAGCGAGACGCCCGTGCAGAAGCTCTGGGGGTTCACCGCCTGACTGAACTCCGTGTCGGTCACCGGGATCGTGGCTTTGTCGTCCCCTGCGGGAAGAAGCTGGAGCTCGGACCCCTTTCGCTAGCCAGGGGGTCGCTGCGGGCGCCTGCCCGCCCACGCTCAGCACACCCCTGGGATCCCCACGGGTGCTCTGGGGGGGGCACGCGGGGATGGGAGATTTGTCTGGCTCTTCCCCCGCCAGAGCAGCGGTGTGACAGTAAAACCCACGGAGGCAGAGCCTGGCTGAGGAGAGGGCTGCGGGTGCCGCCAGCACAGCCAGCCGCAACGCAGGGTCGGAAGGGGACAGCCCGGGGACACTGCGGGCTTCTCGGGGCCTGGTGGGATGCTGCTACCGGGCGGGTAGGTGCTGCTGGGGCCCCACACGGCAGGGAGAGCGTGGTGCTTACCCAGCTGCTTGATGCCTTCCTTGTCCTCGATGAGGAGCTGCACCCGAGGGATGTCTATGTGCAGTCGCGGGCCCTGGGGGGGCCCCTTCACCGGCGTGTCAAAGCTGCGGTTGTTCTTGCTGTGAGGTAAGAGGGGACGCAGAGCCGGCGATTACCGGAGAGAGCCCCGGCTGCTCAAGCCCCGCCCGGGGCTCAGCGCTCCAGCTAAGCAGCTCTCCCCCCCAGCAAGCTCCAGCAGGAAAGCCAGCACCCTCCAGTAGCACCGGGCTGCCGTGCTACAGCGAGGCCGACACAACCTTCACCGTTCTGAGCCCAAGGAGGGCTGAAACTGAGCCAGGGCTGAACCTGGCCTTAAAAGCATCCAGGACGACCCCCACCACCCAGCACTCCCCCGCTTCCCCACCCACTCGCAGCTCGGAGACCAACCTGATCAGCATTTCAGCCAAACTCTTGGCATCTGTGCAAGAGACACAAAAAACAAGGAGGAAGGTTTGTTCAAGAGAGCTGTTGAGGGTGTAACGAGCCCGCCCAGGAAAGCTCAGCCCTGCGGTCCAGTCCCAGGCGCTGCACCCCCTGAGCCCCATCTCACCTCGAAGCCTCTTCAGCCGCTTCTCCTTCCTCTTCTTGCGGATGATGAAGAGCAGGGCGACTCCCAGCGTGGCCAGGATCACCGGGCAGGCGATGGTGAAGAGCTTCTTCACGTCGTCACCCTCCCCTTGCGCGGATTTGATAGGGGGGATGGTGCCTAGGGCAGAGCGCGGGCGGGTGGGCGGTCAGCGCTCCCGGGAGCCCCCCTGCCTCGGCCCCCGCCCCGTTCCCCCCACTCACTGCCGTCGTAGTCCAGCGTGGCGAACTGCGTGGTCTCGTTGCCGCAGCCGGCGCTGTTGCAGGCCTTCATGCGGAGCTCGTACCACGTGGCCTCGCGCAGCTCCGTCAGGAAGACCTCGCTGGAGCTGTTGGTGCGGAGGCTCTGCCAGACCCAGTTGCCCTTGGGCCGGTACTCCAGGACGATGGCGGTGATGGGGCACCCCCCGCTGCTCCAGCCCTGCAGGTTCAGCCTGGCGTGCGTGGAGTTGATGTGGGTGAAGAGGTGCTGGTCCTTGCTGAAGGAGGGCTCTGCGGGAGAGGAGCCGTCAGGAGGGCACGCTGCCGGGAGGGGACTGCAGGGTCCCCCGGCGGGGCAGGGACGCCGCGGGGCAGGCTCACCTCTGCCGTGGGTCTTGTTGATCCCGTGTATCCGGCCAGCCCCGACGCTGTTCTTGGCCGCCAGCTTCACCTTGTACCAGGTGCCGCACTTGAGGCTCTCCAGCTTGAAGGAGCGCTCGGAGGAGCTGATGAACACGTCCTTCCACTCCTCGCTGTTGTCCACCGAGTACTGGAGCACGAAGCCTGCGGGAGCAAGGACGGGGTGGTCACCTCCGGGCACCCGGGCAGGGCGAGAGAAGGGGTTACC